ACTTATCTTTTTCAAGTTGTCACAGCTAGAGCGTTGGCCTGGTTGAACATAGTATATGAGTATGTTTTCTGAAGCACACTTTATTATCTCTGAACAGTTTTTTTCCTCTTTTTTCTATGGCTCCATAGTCTTGGTTGAAGTTAATTCAACAGGGCTATACTAGCGTCAGCTGGAGAAACAGAGCTGTTTTCAATTCATGTTTTTCTTTGAGTAAATGCTTCAACAGAGAGAGACACAGGCTTTGATGAATTACCCCTTCCTTTGGTTCTCTCAGGGCTATTTCCATAGCAGGGAGGTGTCATATTCAAGATCTTATGATGTGTGGGGCCGGCCCGGTGGCACACTGCTACAGTGCGTCGCTTGGGAGCGCGGCGGCGCTCCCGCCGAGGGTTCGGATCCCACATACAGACTGGCCGCTCACTGGCTGAGCGAGGTGCGGGCGCAACACCGAGGGTTGCGATCCCGTTGCCGGTCCCGGTCCGGTACGGGCACGACACTGAGGGTTGCGATCTGTTGCCGGTCATGAAAAAAAAAAAGACAAAAAAAAAAGATCTTATGATGTGGAAGACTCTACTCAAGACAGAACTGTAGGGTGGTCCTTGTGTCACGAATGCAGTTCCGGGGTCATATGCTAAGTGTATTTAGTTTATTTAAAAAAAAAAAAAGCCAAGAATGGTGTATTATTTTACAATCCCACCAGCAATATATAAGAAATCTAGTATCTTGGCATCCTCACCAGCATTTGGTAGTGTCACTAATTTTTAATTTAGCTGTTGTAATTGGCATGTGGTAATTTTCATAATGTTCTTAATGTGCATTTCATTAATGACTAGTGATGTTGAACATCTTTTCATGGCTTATTTGCCAAACATGTTCTGTTTGGTAGAATATCTCTTAATTCCTTTTGCCCATTTTCTAGTTGGATTATTTTGTGTGTATATACACATATATATATACATAAAACAATCTGGTTATCTATATGTAGACAAATCTTCCTATTTATCTGTCTTTATTTATCTATATATCTGTGTGTGCGTGTGTCTGTATATTTGCTGGCTGGCACAGGAAAGAACCCTGGACCTTAGTCTTTCCAACACCGCACTCTAACCGACTGAGCTAACCAGCCAGTTTAAATTGTTTCTGCTTTGGCTGTTGAGTTTTGAGAGTTCTTTATATATTCTGGATAGAACAGGGTTCTTTATATATTCTAGATAGAAGACGTTGTCAGCAGGTGGCTTGCAAATAGTTTCTCTAGGCCCGTAGGTTCTTTTTATTCTTTGCACGGAGTCTTTGAAAATATAATTGAAAATGCCTAAACTTAGTTGAAACTGGTTTATTTTCCCTGTCTCAAGTTGTTTTATGAGTTGTCATGCAGGTTGTAAGCCAAGCATAGACGAAGAGGACCTTGCTCTCCAGATGACCTTGAGCATAGGAGCCCCAAATCTTCCCTCTGCCAAACTCAAATGCTGGAGGTTGAAATACCAGAGCCCTTTTGGAAGTGAGAGGTCCTTCAGCAAGGAAGTTCCAGCATCCAGAAGTTTCATCATCATAGATGGCCTGACTCAGAGCTAGCCAATCCACTTGTACCGCATCCCATGGCCTGATTCAGAGTCAGCTAATCAGTTTTGCCTATACCCCTTGAAGGCCTGAATGGTGGAAAAAGATCGGAGGTGCCTTCCCCCTGTCTCCATGCCAGTCAAACTCATGAAATAAAGCCTTCTTTTCTCAAAAACTGGTGCTGTCATATTGGCTTCTGTGCAGATTGGACAGTGAGCACTTGCTTGGTAACAAAATTAACGTTCATGTGTTGCTCTTGTATCCTTAGTCTTTGATAATGTAATATATTGTCATTTATCAGGAGTTTTTTTGTAGATTCCTTGGGATTTTCTGTGTAGACAATCATGTCATCTGTGAAGACAGACAATAATATTTCTTCTTTTCTGATCTGTCTTTCTTTTCTTTTCTACTGTCTGGTCCATCACACGGGGATTCACTGGATAGTACCAATAGTATTAAATTGAGAAGGAGTGAGAAGAGAGGACATTCTGGTTTTGGTTTTGAACTTAGTAGAAAAGCATGCATTCTTCCATCGTTATGTATTGTGTTAGCTGTAAAAATTTTTCTAGATGTTCTTTATTAGGTCAAGGTAGTGCCCTTCTATTCCTAGTTTACTGAGGATTTTTAACATGAATACCTGTTGAATTTTGTCAGATGCTTTTTCTGCCTTAACTCTTGAACATTCGTGTTTTCTTCTTTAGATTACATTAATGAGTTTTGAATATTGAACCAGGCTTTCGTTTCTGGAATCAATTCCTCTTGGTCATAATATATTAATATTTATTTCCTTCCTTCTGAAAGGTGTTTTTTTTTAAATTTTTAATTTGCACTTTTTTTTTTTTTTTTTTTTTTGGTTTCCTTAATGAAAGCATGGCTAATTGATTTCATACCTTTCCTTTTTTCAAACATAAACATTCAGCATCATTTGTTTTCCTCTTAGTAATGCTTTATCTGGATGTTAGCATATATTATATGTTGTGTTTTTATTTTCATTCACTGTTATGTATTTTTAAATTTTCCTTGAGTCTTCCTGTTTAATCATGAATTGTTCAGAAGTGTGCATTTTAATTTCCAAGTGTTTGGAGGCTTTTTCTCAGTTTCATTTTTATATAATTTAAAGCTTATGCTATTAAAACATTGCAGCAAAATGCAATTATGTTTTCTTGGTTACTTTTTTTTTCCTGCTCAGTTACTTTTTATAAATTCTTCAAATATCATTGAAGTAAACTTTTCCAATACCAATTT